CTAGCAAATCGTTGACACTCATCGTGAATAATAAAAGTTTATTTGAGAGTAATACTAATTGGGTGTGTGCATCTTGCTTTTTGACCCAAGAGTCCTGGTTGGGAGAACTGTTGTCGTATCAGTTGAGGTTGTGTATCACAACCCCCACAAATAAAAATATGGAGTGGAGGATGAGTGAATATGGGTTGAATACAGGCAGAATAATTTGGTGCGCAGAAGGAATGCGCATCGTGACTTAAAAATAATCACAAATAGGGGGTTGTCAGTAAGCTTGATAATCATGAATTCACCGTGTTAAGTGGTCGCACAAAAACTAAACACGCGGGGTTGCGACCAAACCCCGCGAACACTTTTTGTGACGTTATTGTGCTTCAAAACCATCACCATGTAGTTCAGGAGCTGGTTTGTAAAATTCCTCCAAAACCTTTTGTTGTATTTTGATCAGATTGTTTCTGGTGATCCAAATGAAGCCAGACAAAATCTCTGCTTTGATAGCCCATTTGTAAAGCTCCCTTCAAGCAACTACTACTAGTAATAGTCTGTTGTAGTCTCTCATACTAGTATTCACTAGCTTTGTTTTCATATTTGTTGTGGCAGATACTACAAGCCTCTTTGTTTGGGTGTTTGATTGTGTCAACATCCACAAGTATGTCCAGTGCAGCATTGAGACTATCATCAAAGTTCCATGCATCATCACCACTGAGGTCCAAATCAAAAGCATTCATTTCAGAATCTGCACGAAATAACGTGTACTTTGTAGTAGTGTTCTTTTAGTAGTGTTTATTAGATTGCTCTAATTAGGATTGTGAGACTAAAACTAATGAAATAGACTGAATCCACCTCTCACGTGCTTTCCCGTGTTATACTGGATTCAGTGAGTTATGATTGAGTTCGATAGATAGTAGAAATATACATCCAAGCAGTACAAGTCAAGTGTGTGCTACTTTCCTCAGTTCTCGGATGRTGTAGRACTTRGTACTGCTTGTACTGAGTGACTTTAGAACAGAACTCCCAATCGATTAGTTCTGTTCTGAGTTCTAATTCCCGTTCTGAGAATTAGTAGAGAGGAAGTATATATACAGTTATATACTGATCTGTGTATATTAATATGTCGATGCTTTGATATATATATATATATATATATAGTATATATATATAGTGCTCGTGATCTTACTAGTATAGTACTACTAGTAGTACTATAGTATAGTTTTTGGTCGATATATATATATATATATATATATATATATATATAGTTTTGGGTCCCAAGGACTCATGATTGGATCCACAAGTGATCAAAGACATGAAATTCGTGATAAGTGACAAGATCAACAAACACATTTGTCGACAGGC